TCATCAACCAGGACTAAGGTATATTTCTTGCCACCAACGCTTGGAGTCTCAACAGGTCCAAATAAATCCATGTGAATCAGATTTAGAGGACTTGTAGAAAGATCTCCAGCAATGGGTTTGAAGGAATTCTTCACTTGTTTGCCTTTCTGACATGCACTGCAGAGAGTCTCCTTCTTATACACAATGTCTGGTAGCCCTTCTACAATGTGTTCTCTGGCCAGTTTGTTGATTGTTTTGAAATTCAAATGGTTGAGCTTTTTGTGCCAATCCCAGCTCAGTTTTGAATCTCCTTTGGCTATCAGGCAAACTCCATCTTTTGCAGTGTTCCAATCAACTACATAGATGTTCTTCTTCCTTGATGCTGTAAGAACCACTTCCTTTGTTGTCTCATGCTTCACATAGCAGAAGTCCTTCGTGAATTCAACAGTGTAGCCTTTGTCACAGAATTGGCTAGCACTTAGCAAGTTGAACTTCAGTCCTTTGACATATGAGACATCATCAATGATTATCTGGTTCTTGATCAGCTTTCCTCTTCCTTTTGTTTGACCTTCTTTGTCATTACCTCCAAAGGTAACTCTAGGTCCTTTGCATTTCTGGAACTCTGTTAGGCAACTTCTGTCACCTGTCATGTGCCTGGAGCATCCACTATCAATAAACCATTCTTGTTCAGAGATGGCTCCAGCACACAGTTCTTGCAAGATCAAAAGAAAGATTTAGGTACCCAAGCAATGCTGGGTCCTGGGGGGTCATGGAGTCTGGGTAGTTGGTACCATTTTGGTCTCATCAAGTGAAACCTTGGTGGGTGGTACCCATTGTCCACCTGGTAGTTATAGTAAACTGAAGTGTGATTCACTTTGGGCAGATGCTTGTGAGGGTCATGCTTCCTATTTACATACTTTTGCATAGCTTTCTTTGTTGGAAAGAAGTCCCATATACTATCAAGAGTAGAGGGACGGTTAACCTTGGGCTTCTGAAGTTGACCAGCCAACCTCTTCTGCCTGAAGTTAACTTTCTCTTGATATTTGCCCTTCTGGTGATCATTTCTGGCACGATTGAGATGAGGTTGTCTGTCAATGAATGGTCTTTTATTTTTGTTATTTTGAAAACCTCTTCTGTTGTTAGGTTTTCTTCCAGGTTCATTATTTTTCAAAAAGGATTTCTGTTGAACCTTTATCTTGCCTTTTTCTGGTCTGACTTCCTCATGAACAACCTTGGTGCCAGATACACCAGCTTGACAGATGGGGCTAGAAATCAGTGGCTCTATGACTTTATCTGCCTTAGCAACTCTGGTGCTAGGCATTACAGAAGGCTCACCTGATTCTGTTGAGCCATAACCAAGACCAAAACCAGTGCCAATCTGTTGATCAAGCACAATCTTTTCCATGGAAGACTGGGCCTTCTGGTAAGCTTTGTACTTAATCTCGAGAGGCTCTATTTCTCTTATTCTCTTAAGAAGAGAAACATTTTCAGTCTCCAGTTGATCTCTTTCCTCAATTAGAAGATTGATTTTGATCTCAACCTCCTTCTTTAAGTCAAGAATTTCAGCTTTCAACTTACTGTTTTCTTCTGTTACAGAAGAATAAGTGGCTTGTATGGCCTTAAACTCTTCCCAAAATTCTGACATTGAATCAGAATCAAAAGCTAAGCCTACCGAAGAAAAACTAGATTCAGAAGTAGAGGTTACCTCATCATCAGAATGAGCCATGAGGCAAAGGTCTTCTGTCTCAGTATCAAGGCAACAGAAGGCCTCATCAGAATTTGAGTCAGAACTGGATTCTGTTTCTGACAGAGGGTCTTTCTCCAGCTGTTCTGTCACAAGTGCCTTTCTTCTTCTGGAGTTGTCCTCGTACTTCTTCTTTTCTCCATCCTGTCCTTGCTTCTTGGACACTCTAGGATGGGGACAGTCAGCTTTGAAGTGGCCAGGTTGTCTGCAATTGTAACAGAGAAGCTCTCCACTGCTTTCTGTTGATTTGACCTTCTGGTATGGCTTTCTGTTGAAAGATGGACTCCTTCCATCTTTGGGATTCTTCATAAACTTTTTGAATCTCCTGGCAAAGGCAGCCATATATTCATCAGATAAAAGTACTAAAGGGTCAAAATCATTTACCTTAGATGTGCTGGCAGTGAGGGCTGTAGTGGTCCTCTCTTCTGGTACATCTTCCTTCTCTTCAATCATTTCAAACTCATGAGCTTTGAGATCTGAAATGAGCTTATCAGTGGGATAAGTCTTTACATCCTTGCTGGCTTGGACAACAACTACCTTCATCTTCCATGCTGAGGGCAGTCCCCTCAACACCTTCAGGTTGATCTCCTTGGTTGTGAGATCCTTGCCAAGCTCAGAGATCTCTCCAGTGAGAGTGAGGAGCCTGTCATACATCTTGGAGATGCTTTCACCAGGGAGAAGTTTGAAGTCATCAAACTTCTTGTTGGCTATGGTTAGTTTGTTGTCCTTCTCTTGCTCATCACCAGCTCCAATGAGCTCAAGAGTATCCCAGATTTCCTTAGCAGTCTTGCACTTCTTGATTCTGTTGAAGTACCTATCATCAATGGACTTGTAGAGGATGTCCTTGGCAATATTGTCTAGGTTGTACTTTCTCCTCTCTTCAGTGGTCCATTCTGACTTGGCCTTACTAATCATCTGGGGTCTGGTGTTGTCTATGGCATGTTCAGGATTGACCTTCTGGAAGCTTGTGAAGGGGCCAATGTCTAGAACTTCCCACATCTCATCATGCAGGGCACAGAGATGTGCTTTCATCCGGATCCTCCAGTCATCAAACTTAAGATCTGAAAACATAAGATTCTTGGACAAGGAGTGATCCATTATATCAGATAGAAATGAGGTAAAACAGAAAAAACAAGTGGATCTTTGTTCAACAAATAACCTAAGAGATTATTAGAACAAGGAGGCTCTGATACCATTTGTTGGTCCTGGTTATACTGGATACAGTCTAGAGGGGGGGTGAATAGACTGTATTGGTTTTTAGCTTTTTAAACTAAGTACCAGATTTACAGAATAGCCTGTTCTGTTGAAAGAACAGACTGTCAGCGGATGGGGTTCTGGTAGGGAGTTCTGTTAGCCTCAGAGAAGCAAAGGCAGTAGGCCTTCCGTTAACTCGTAGAACAAGTTCTGCTGAACACAGATACCAAGTCCAAGGAGTTATACAGTTCTAACTAAATGCAATTATTAAAAGCAGTAAGTAAACGACACCAAGGATTTTTATAGTGGTTCAAGGAACAACTCGTTCCTCTAATCCACTGTTCCACTAAGCTGTAAAAACTGCCGTTTACAAAGCCTTAGTCCTAGTACTTAAGAAGCACTCCACGTCTTCTTCAAGCCTAGATGTGTCCTGGGATGCACTGCCTGGCTTCCTTTAACACTGGTCCTTTCACTGAGTTTCCTTGAAGTATCACCACTTCACTACTCCAGTTATTTGGACGTCCTTCTTGTAGCAAGAAGAGTTTCTGTTGAAACTGGGGTTCCTCCAACTAGCTTCGTTACAAAAGATTTGTATGTGATGAGCTTGAAGAGTTGAAGAACACTTGGAACTTTGCTTGAGTTGGAAAGAGTATTTTTCCAACTTCTGCCTTCTCTTGTAGAGGATAATGAGTTTGAATCTCAAGGAGGCTTTTTGCTTTTCAGAGTTTGAATATCTTGCTTGTGGTTAGCAAAAGTTGCAATGTAATCTTGGCAAAGTTATAGCAAAGTTGTAGCTTCGTTGTCCGGTTGTTCTTCGTAGTGTATCTTTTATACTGAGGTTGTCTTCCCGTTGGAGGAGTAGGAGGACAACTGCATTTAATGCGCGAGCAGTTGACTTGACCAGTAGGACCCGGTAAAGTTGGCGGGTTACTATTTTGGGATAAAGTAATCCTGACATTGCGGCCAATCATCTGCAATTACTCCACGGAGCATGGGGAGCATTAAATGAGCATTTAATGCGAGCACTGTAGCTTTTCCGTTTCATAGTCCTAGCCGTTGAAGGAATCTTTAAGTTGACTTCCCGGCTTTGTGGATTTCTTCCAAGTGTCAGACCTTCTGGTGTTATTGGCAGAGAACTGATTCAGAGAAGATCATGAGCACTTCTGTTGTTGGTAGCTTACAGAGAACCAGGAGGGTTTCTGTCACGCTAAAGGGTAACAGAGACCCTGACGTATTCTGTTCCTAGACAGAGAACCAAGATCTTCTGTCTGGAGGACTTCTGGTAGAGAGACCTTCTGGTAGTCGAATATGCTAAGAACTTTACAAGGGAAAATTCTAATACATACTTTCTAAAGGGGTACTCTACAGTCCTAATTAATATAGCATCATCAAAATCTAAATACAATTATTCCTTACAGAGCCTTCAGTAAGGTACTCATGTTCGACGTTCTATGTGAGGCATAGTTCCACACAGAAAGTATTCCACATCCGAATGGATACTTGTTGCCAGCGAGGGGGAGCCAGCGAGCAGCGCAGGAACGAGAGAAATAAAGAAAAATGTGGAGGGGGAGATTTGTAGGATTCTTCCACCTTGTTTCTTGGAAGTTGCCAAGAGACATATAACACCTTCTTGGAAGGAGCTCTCCAACATATGAACATGAGAGAAGATATGGAGATAACTATGGAAGCTTGAATGCAACTTACTCTTGTCTCCAAACTAGCCTATAAATAGAGTGTTCTATTGTTGTTCATATCATCAATTTTAGAAAGTGAGAAAAGTGTATGAAGAGTGAAATACACTTAGAGTAGAAGTGTATTGGTGATGATTGGTTTTTTGTGATAGTTGAGTGTGAGAGTTTGCTCCTCCTATTGTAATTCTATTCTTGGTATTGAATACAAGAATTTTCCACTCCCAATAATTCACTCATTCATTCTGCTTGGCTTGGCTTGGCTTGGCTTGGCACAAAGTAAAGTGTGTTTGTAGACAAATACTAGTAGTAGTACCAACCAACCAACTGCATGCGCTGGAATGTAGTGGGGGCGGTGCAAAAGTTGCATGTCCTGGCCTGCTGCATAACGGAATGAATACCTACCTGAATTAAGAAAAGCATCTTTCTTTCTGATTCGGGATTATATTTTATATTTTCTCTTCTCCTTGAAGTTTTCTGACACCTAGCTAGCTATTCCTCACTCTACTAATTTCGTATGACTCACTACATTTAGCGCATGCAGCTGCTTTCTTGATCGATCGAGATTCCATCGCGCGTATATTCAAGCTAAGAGTGAGATCCAAAAAAAAGCTAAGAGGGGCTTTAATTTGGGATTAAAGATCGCAATGGGTAAAGCAGCAGCAGCGGCAGAAGGATTGTTGTTGATTTTGGTGATGACGGCGGCGGCGGCGGCGGCATGGAAGGGGGGGAGCGTGGGAGTGAACTGGGGGACCATGTCCTCGCACCAGCTGCCGCCGCGCAGTGTGGTGAAGGCCCTGAAAGACAACGGGTTCGACAGGGTGAAGGTGTTCGAGGCGGAGCCGCAGATCCTGGACGCGCTCGCCGGCTCTGACATTGAAGTCATGCTCGCCCTCCCCAATTTCATGCTGCAGGAGATGAGCCAACACCCCGCTGCGGCCGCTGCTTGGGTCGACGCCAATGTCACCGCCTACTGCCCTGCAGTCAACATCAGGTTCGTTGCAGTCGGAAATGAGCCCTTCCTCAAGACTTACAACGCCTCTTTTCTCGCCGACACCTTGCCTGCTTTGAAAAACATTCAGCACGCCCTCAACCAGGCTGGCCTAGGCGCCGACGTCAAGGCCACCGTTCCCTTCAATGCTGACATTTACTTCTCCCCCGACTCCAACCCCGTCCCTTCCGCCGGAGATTTCAGGCCCGAAATTCGCGACCTCACCATCCAGATCATCCAGTTCCTCACCTCAAACGCCGCTCCTTTCGTCGTTAACATCTACCCTTTCCTCAGCCTCTACAGCAACCCCTACTTCCCTTTTGACTTCGCCTTCTTTGATGGATCAACCAAGCCTCTCAGGGATGGCACTGCTGTGTACACCAATGTCTTCGACGCCAATCTCGACACTCTCATCTGGGCGCTCAGGAAAGCCGGATACCCCAACATGAAGGTCATGATCGGGGAGGTCGGGTGGCCCACGGACGGGGACAAAAGTGCTAATGCTCAGAACGCACGGCGCTTCAACCAGGGGCTCATCCAGCACGCTTTGAGCGGGGAGGGGACGCCGATCAGGAAGGGCCGGATTGATTTCTACCTCTTCAGCCTCATTGATGAGAACGCAAAGAGCATTGCCCCCGGGAGCTTCGAGAGGCACTGGGGGATTTTCGAGTTCGACGGGAAGCCGAAATACGAACTGGATTTGTCGGGGAAGAAGGAAAACAAAGGGCTTGTCGCAGTGGAAGGGGTGGCTTACATGCATAAGAGGTGGTGCATTTTGAACCCTGAGCTCAAAGAGTTGGACGATTTGGCAAGAAACATTGATTACGCGTGTAGCCTTTCGGATTGCACAGCTCTGGAGTACGGGTCTTCTTGCAACCATCTGAGTGCACAAGGGAATGCGTCCTATGCCTTCAACATGTACTATCAGTTCAAGAATCAGAACAGTTGGGATTGCGACTTCTCGGGGTTGGCTGTGGTGACAGATCTTGATCCATCTGAGGGTGACTGCCAATTCCCGGTGATGATCACTGAAGCCCATTCGGTGATGCTTCTGCATAAGAAGCTTTTGTACATTTTACTGGCCATTGCTCAAGGCTGCATCGTCTTCTTGCTTCTCGTGTCTTAATTACTGCCGCCACATGCATTGCAACCCAGACTTTCTTGGTTCAGTTTTGAGATCAGATGATGTGATCCATTTAATGCAAAGGCAGCTTAGCATGCCTACCTTCTTAATTACATCACCCGTCGATCAGTACTCGTAATGTTCGTTTCAAGGAGGCTAGCAACGTTACTCGCCAGCTGGGCGAAAAGTTTAGTATCTTTGTTCATCCATTTAATGTCCATGGAAATAAGAATAAAAGCTTTCAATGCTCCATTTGATGTCCGTGGAAGGGTACAACATCTCGCTCTTATCCTCACCAGACGCCACTCCGGCCCTTGTTCATGCTCAATGCATGCTAGCTCTTCATGACATTTTTGTAATTAATGTGAAATCGCGGTTTCTGCCATTAGTGTAACGTTAATGAGCAATATTCCAATTTTAATGAGTATTGAGAGTCTAATAATGAGCACCATGTTATTACAAGAAAATTGATATCACAACTAAAAAACGGTAACATTTTCGTAATTTCAGTGAAAATCATGGTTTTCTTTAGATGAGCATTAACATACTTTTAATGAACATTGGACGTATGCTAAAGAGCATTAAGAGTCGAATAATGAGTATTGTGATATCAACTTCATATATTGTAATTCACTTTCTTTTTCTTAATTTTTCTTTTATAAGTATGACGGAGAAAAACGAAAAATGATACACGGGACTGTTTTCTGAAGATTTGTGAAAGGTGAGATTATTTATATAATGTTTACAAAGAAAACATAAAAACCCCGGTATAGCATGTCCTCAACCGGTCATGGACTAGTGAAAGAAGATGATACGCAAAGATTAGATTTTTTTTTTTGAGAGAAAGGTTAGATTATTCTTAAGTAACGTAAAAGTAGAATTATTCTGAGAATACCGGTGAAATGTGAGATTATTGTTGTCAAATTTTCTATTTTCATGTCACTTACGGGTGTCGCTGCCACCGCGAAATATATCATTGTGACCGTCAGAAATTTTTCAGGGGCAATTTTTTTTAAAAAATTGGAAAAATGTAAAAAAACATCAAAAGCAATTTGGCGGCGATTTCCGATTGCAGATCTGGCAACAACGGGGCAAGTGTGGTGGGAGACGGGGGCAGAGATTGGATACAAATTACAATGAGAATAAAATTGGATTAATTTTTTTTTGAAAGGAAAGAGCTTATATTAGAATCAAAAGAGTCAATACATTCATCAAGATCCAAAACCAAAAACTCCCACTAGACCCACAATACCAAAAGCCCATCGACCCCCTCATGTCATGCTCAGACATAGAATAGTCCACCCCCAATAGGAGCGAGACTAATCGCTGAAACGGTGAGAGCTAAGAAGCTATTACCGACTGTGACAGCCTGATTGCCTTCATCAAGAAAAAACCTGCTAAAAAAACAACCTACCATACCCACACCCTTATTGTAAGTGAAAATAAAAAACCAACAGATAACTGAGTTCTGAAAAAGCAAAAAAGTGCAACCAAAATAACATTCCAGGTGATGGATGTTGTAATCTTCCATCCCTTGTGCCTTCCCCAACTCATCTTCTATTTGCCTGACAGGCAGGCATTGTAGCCCGCCCCCTCCCCGTTTTTTGTTATGCTCGTCTCCACATCTATATCTTTATGTGCTGCTTCTTGTTCCTCATGATCCACACGCATGCGCTTCTGTTCCCCCTTATCTCCTGTCTAAGCATGGTCCTTCTCCTGTTGCGGTCTTCCCTCTGCATCCGAACTGGCCATCCCTAATACCTCTTCTTCGGCTTTTCCTTTCTCTTTGCCAACTGGGACTAAGGGTACCATTTGTTGCCTCCCACAGATGTGTTTCCTTTTGAAGCTCTTAGTTCGGGTCCAAATCGAAAGCCCCCGCTTTTTCCCTTGCCATCAGGGTAATGCGGACAGAACCTTTCTGCATGACCTATAACTCCGCAGGCAAAAGAAAAACTAGGCAATTTTTCATAGCTAAATTTAACGCAAAAACTTTCCCCTTTATCTGATTGGAGAAACAGTTTCCTCTTCAGAGGTCTGTTCAAGTCAATACTAACACTTACTCTCATGTAGGGGTTCCATTCCACAGAGAAATTTTGTTCATCCACCTTGATAAAACTCCCTACAAAATTCCCAATTTTTATAGAATTTTCAATTGAAAAAAATCTCATTGGAATGTCATGAACCTATAACCAGAAGTCAACCTTATTCAACGGAATCTGCAAAGGTAGATCAACTTGCTTTAACCTAGCAAGCACAATTAGGTTCTGGTCGAAAGTCCACGGCCCTTCCTTCAACACACATATCATATCGTTTTCATTATAAAATTGAAACATGTACCTTCGTGCACCTATCTCAGTAATAGTAACGCCTCTAGTAGGCTTCCACACATTGGCCATAGTGTCACAGAAAAAAGAAAAGCGTACCGACTTTTCAGAAGTGACTGTTCCAACCAAGGTCAGCCCTACCTCTGCGATCTCTGAAGTTTTAGCCGCCACGAGTAGGACTTCATCTTCCTCCATCTCCATTGTTCCATACGCGTTTGCTAGCCTATTAATATCCTCCATCTCATTAATGTCGCCCATATTGGAATTGCTTTCTTCGTGAAACCTGTATCAAACGAATCAGACCCCGAGCCGGAAACCTGCAACCCTCAAACCCCTGCTCGTTCGATGTGAGAAGAACGACCAGTTGGTCGAAATTGGATACACGGTATAAAAAGTTACGTTCCTAGATGATGTGCACGTCGAACGATTAGATCGCCGACCCCAAGCCCCGCAGACCCTAGGTCCCTAGCTGCGCCGAGGAAGACCTATAGATTTTACTTAAAACCAGTGAAATGTGAAATTTAGGAACTTTAAAATTGGATTAATTAAACAAAAGGTTAGTCATATTGTTGGGAAAAAAATATTCACTTGTGTAAATTTCACAAAGCAATAGCTAAATGTACAAACAAGCTGATGTATTTGGCGGACAAACCTAAGAATGCTTTTAATTGGACTGAAATTTTCTTATCTAGATATATGTGGTAGAAAGCGTGCTTAACTAGATATAGTGATGTAATGAAGATTTCATTTTACTACGTTACACAATTGATTTCTACATTCCATTGCATTATACCCATCGTAGGCTTAGAGTTTGGCTAATGATATTCCTATTTTGAAATTTCAAAACTTTTTTAAGGGAATTCTCTCAATATTTTATGGTTTATGCCGGTCCTATTCCTTAAACCAAAGGTATGGTTATGGTAATCATCACGTTGATGATTTTTCTCAAAGATCATTGCATCAAATATGGAGGAGGTGAGGATGCTAAGCAAGAGCAGCTGGAGGCTGAGCCTGAAGTACGTCCCACCATCCAGTAGAGATGCCAGAGCCCCAACCAAAAGGATCGGAGCCCCTAGAGGCAACTTTGGAAAAAGGAATTGAAGCCATGTTTTCTGAACTTTGACACAATCAAACTCATAAAGAAGACGATCATCTAGGTGCTAGACGGAGAGTGTGGAAGCAGAGAATGTCAACCGATTAAAAAAAAGGTGGTGGTCGTGTTGATACAGCTGGTGAGAGCAAGAATGTAAAAACAGAAGTCAAACAGGCTAAAGACCACCATAATGGTGTTGAGGTTGGGAAGGGAAATTAAAATACTCGTGGAATTGAGAGATGGATGAGGATGCTAGTAACACCATTGTTGCAAAAGTTAAAAAAGTGCAGTCAGTCTATGAAAAAGAAGAACAGCAAGTCAAGCAAAGAGATAGCTGCTGCGGCTGAATTGGCTACAAGGAATGCACGCTAGCTGCTGCAGCGGCAGAAAAGAAAAAGGAGAGGAACCACTACACCATATACTACAATTAGCAGCAACTACGGCAATATTTTTTACCTGAACAAACATAGGTATTAAGTATGATCCATTACTAAATATACACAAGACACATACGAATCTCGTTCAATTTTAGACTGAACATGAGGTTTTACTTTTTTCTTAACTTGGCAATTGCCAGCCAAAAATTTGGTTAACCACATGGCACAGCTATAAATAAATCTTCTATCCATTAGTAGCTTTCTTTGTGTGGATTAGCAAAAGATTTTAGTATGTTGATGCATTTGGGGGTAGTTGTAAGACGACTATGGTTTACTCATGCGTACAGCATTTTGTTGATTTTTTAACCCCATCTATTAATAAAAGCAAACATAGTATTACAAGTATAACAGATATGACCAACCTGGAGCAGTATTTAACTCTTTTATGCTCAATTCATGACTGCCATCAATGTCAACTGTCCCTCAACCATTAAATACCAGAAATTTTTCATACCTTGATCATCTATATCCTCACTTTTAGTGATAGTTTCCTGAGTTTAACAACTTGAATTGTCTTCAAAACTCATTTCACACGCACTCAACATTTCTTCATGGATCCATCAGTTGAAGAACTACATTTCCCTGACATTACTAAGATCCCCATAACCATCGACCGTATAGCTCCAGTCCTACCAGCAGGCTCTATTCCGGTTGGCCATGGGGATACCCTATACCTCTCAAACCTAGATGACATGGTTGGAGTTCGTGTCTTTACTCCAACCATATACTTTTACCACCGACCGCATTGCATTTCTAATCAGAAACCAGTGGTGATGAATAATACCCTTAAAGAAGCCCTTGCGCATGTACTGGTGCCTTACTATCCTTTCTCAGGTAGGTTACGAGAGGCGGGAAACGGAAAGCTAGAAGTGTTTTTTGGGCCAAACCAGGGAGCAATTCTTGTGGAGGCACACTCACAAATGAGTTTAGAGGATCTTGGAGATCTTACTGTTCCAAATCCTGATTGGAAGACTCTGGTTTACAGTTTCCCAAACGAAGAACAGTATAAAGTGATTGACATGCCTTTGTTAATAGCCCAGGTAACTCGGTTCAACTGTGGTGGGCTGAGTCTTGGGCTAAGAATCTGCCATTGCCTCTGTGATGGCGTAGGAGCAATGCAGTTTCTCAATGCATGGGCTGCCACATGTAGAGAAGGTGGTTCGTTCATACTAAGCCCCAAACCCTATTGGGACAGAGAATTTTTTCGAGCACGTGACCCCCCGAAATTCGAATACCCACATGCCGAGTTCTGGAGAATCGACGACGGATCAAGCCTAACTAGAAGTCTTTGGGAAGCGAAGCCCTTGCAAAAATGTTATAGGGTTACACGAGAGTACCAGGCTGTTGTGAAAAGCCTAGCCCGACCCGCTGGGGATTCCACCACCACCACCTTTGATGCCATGGCAGCTCATGTATGGAGGTCATGGGTTCAAGCCCTCGGCGTAACGCCTCTTGACTATCAGCTCCGGCTTACATTTGCTGTCAATGCACGCCAGAAGCTCAAGAATCCGCCTTTGAGAGAAGGGTTTTATGGCAATGCATTGGCCGTGGCTTGCGCCACAAGCACGGTAGCTGGGCTTCATAATGGGCCTTTGACGGAAACAACCCGGTTGGTTCGCGAGGCACGCTTGGCCGTGTCAGAGGAATACCTGCGGTCCACAATTGACTACATTGAAGTGGACAGGCCTAGGAGGCTTGAGTTTGGAGGGAAATTGAGCATTACCCAATGGACCAGATTCTCATTATACGAATCTGCAGACTTTGGTTGGGGAAGGCCCATTTATGCCGGCCCAATAGACCTGACTCCAACCCCACAAGTTTGTGTTTTCTTGCCAGGAGGAAGTGGGGTTCCTGATGGAACAATGCTTGTTTGCATTTGCCTCCCAGAGTCTGCATGCAGTAAATTCAAAGAGCTTTTGAGCTGCTGCTCTTCCATCATAACTCTCAGCTAGATGAGCCAAGCATTACTTCGGACAATTAGATTTATATGTAAGATCCAATATATGTCCAGATTAAAAGCTATAATCAGTCTAGAAGGCTGACTTTCTTATTATTCAAAAAAAACATTTTGATGTGTTCGGTAATGAATGCAATGTTGACCACATCTGAAATTAATTCCACTGGCTGGTTAATCACAGCTTTTAAAAGTATAACTCGAATGAGAAGAAGAAACAAAGGATGCAAGTAAACATGTACTCAACCAAATTTAGTTGATCAAACAGTATGTATATACTACCACAGTCCCAAAATTTACTTCCCACTTTGACGTTTGAATTGGCACGCTTATTAATGAAGTGTAAATGAGCAGAAAATTTCGGGACAACCCAAAAAGGAAAGTAGAAAGAAAATTATGGGACAAATGAAGTAAAAGAGTTTGCATCACCTCGGGAAATATATTAACCAAACAAACGCAACCCCTATGAGTAGATAGCGAAAAACTATCAAGATGGAGGATCCTTGGCTGCACCATTTTGTGTAATCGTTGCAGTAGTAGCTTTTGCTTTCACGTTCTAAATGCTAAAACTCCGGTCTTGAGTATTTTTAAGAGGCTAGCAGGTCTTGATTGCTAGCTTATTTCCAAGTATATTGCCAAAGTACCATAATGACTTTTCATATGAATTTGGCTGAATGAAATGAATCTCAGAAACTTAGTTTTTCGTAAAAGCAATTTTTTAAGCTTTCAAAACCACAGCAATATTCAAGAAAGTAGAACAAGAGCTATATCCAATATTCCAATACCATTCTAAGAGGCACTGAACCTCTCAATTGAGAAGTAGTCATGGTGAAATTTCAGTTCAAATCAAGATCATGTCTGCCTATATACTACAAAGGGGCCCACTCCAATTCCAGTCCAGCTGGTTCTGGGTCCAATATTTATGCTTCCAGTAAACTAAACCACAAAAAGCAGATCTGGTCTGGTCGTGGTTAATGACTGATTTTTTAGCCTACTTAAAAAATACTCCCTCCGGTTCTGAAAGATCTTTACACTTTGACTTCACAAATATTAAGGAGTTTGACACTGTTTGGCACTGTTTGGTGTAGATTTGTAAGGCAAATAAGAAGTGTAAAGATAATTGTGGTATTGCCAAAATTGGAAAGTGTAAAGATCTTTCAGAACCGGAGGAAGTATTAAAAACCCGAACAGGAACCATTATAGACCTACTTTGGAGGATCCAGAACTGGTTTGGGCAGAAAACTCTTCCAATGTGGAACCATAAAAATCAGGCAACCGCCATTGTACTTCGCCTGCCATGGGTCCACCCTATGTGTCTGTCCATGACTGAAATGGCATCCAAGAACTATTTCATAATTAAGAAAGTTTATCAGACACAATTGAAAGCCAGGTTTAGGTTGATATTTAGCCATGAAAAAATTTGGGCACATATGTTCTCCCTTACAAATAAATTTTAAGAACATGTATACACTCATTTAACTTCAGGACAGTGATAAACGCAATTCACATAAATTGACAGACACTTTTGTTCATTTAAATCCTCAATCTGACGTGAACCTTAGAAAACTGTACAAGAGGGATTTCATTGCGTTAATCGCAGTATTCTCACTTGTTTACCAGGTACCTAACCTAAACAAACTTCACTTAAACCTGTTCAGTTGCTTTTGCCTGAGATGGTGAAGTTTCACTCTCCACTTCAATCTCAAACTTCATTTTAAACCTGTTGAGTCGCTTCTGGCTGAGATGTTGAAGTTTCACTCTCCACTTCAATCTCAAACTTACAAAGGGGGCAAGATCCATTTATCTTCAACCACTTATCCACACATTGTGCATGGAAGAAGTGTGAGCAAGGCAACTCCCTGAGCTCATCATCATCCTCATACTTAGACAGACAAATGCAACAAACCTGCAGCAATTAGGCAGCGCCAAATGTTATGCCATGGGACAAGACAGATGTCACTATGGATGCAATTTCAATCGCTACACATCAACAGAAACAAATTAATACAGCACGCCTAATGCCCTAATTTAATAAAAAATGCTATAAAAATGAAAAATGCACCCAAAAAAGTGTTACGAAATTCATATACAGCACATGCTATGTTATGTGTTGTGGCAGTTATGGAACAAGATCCTGCCATCACATGTGCATTTTGTAACACTTTATGCAAGTGTTGCTGTAGTTATAGAATGGTCCAATTATAATATAACTGCAAGAAAGCAATCCACATAGGTACATACTACATCATCATATAAACTTATCATATTAATCCATACTTATTCAGACTTCAGTCACATGGAAAAGATAATTATTGGGTTTATAATTTATACTTTATAGGTTAAATCAATTTAAAAATCTGTTTGATATATATGCTGACACCCACATCACAGCCATTGTTTCAGTTCTCCAAATATATTCCCACAAAATGTCAAATCTCCAGAAAACCTTGCCTAATTCAGAGCAAGAGATTCCAGATGCTCATTAATCAGTACACACTGACATTATACAAAAAAATACTTGTTCAATGAAACAAAATCCCAGCCAGTTGGTAGTGGCTTTTTGAAGCCTCTTATGTAATGCATCATTATCATCATTATCAGCACCATAATCCCAACTAGTTGGGTCGGTGGGATGATGGGATCAAATTTTTAGTTCCGGTAGCATGCAAAAAACCATAGTAACAATGTTATATGCTAGATGCCCTTCCCACCGCAACCTTAAGACATTTTTAATTGGACTGAAATGTTGTATATGTATAAGTCTAGTCTGGTAGATGTATGTTCTACTCCGTATATGTATTTTACAAATGTTGATGTCTTGTCTCGTCTGGTATGTTTAAGTCTAGTCTGGAACTTAAACCAGTCCAATTAAAAACATCCTTAATAAGAAGGAATACAACAACAACATCCAAGACTTAGTCCCCAAAAGAGTTTGGGGTCAACTAACATGAATCGACATATGAAATCGGAGTAAACGAGTGCACCCTCTCATGAATTCATGATATTTTTCATGCATCTGGAAATAACCTATGATGATGATGTTTTTAAAATTTTCATCTCATTACTCCTTGTTTGGCATTAAAATTTAAAAAATGTCATCATCATAGGTTATTTCAAGATGCATGAAAAATATCATGAGGGTGCAGTCCTTTTTATGCACGAATTCCAGTCCAATTTCTAGAGCATAGTATAGCATGAGATATGCGTAGATAGAGAAATAAACATACTGCATCTTCTCCTGATATGACACGCTCCTTTTCTGTTCCGGCTGCTACAAAACCACCATCTTCAACCTCAATGTCAGTGTCTTCAACACTGCAATGACTCTTTAGATTGAACTTGTGCATCGGCAGGGCATTGATAGATTCTTCACTTGCACCTCTAATTCCATTCATATCTTCATGGACACCAACTAGTGATATGATACACGGCAGACAACAGCAAATCATTGCACACAAGACGAAAGGCATTGCATACCCAATACAGCTAATTGTAAGGAAAACTACACAAAGCCTGTAAAGCCAGTAAAGAGCAAGTAAGCATATCTGCAGCAGTTAAGCAAAGAAAAGAGTTGACAGGAAAGTACATAGCACCTATACAGATTGGGAGCATCGGTAGACGATGACTGCCCCCCGAAGATCCAAACATTTCCAACAACAAACCAAACAGCAAAGAAGCAATCCAATGCCATTTTGAAGTGTTCAAGAAATGAAACAATCCTGGCCAGAAAACAAATGGGAGTTAGATCACAAAGTAAAAGTAACAATGGATCTAGTAAAAACATATAGGTCAAAATAAGATAGAAAAGACGAAAAAATCACATTACGTATTGTGCACTCAGATTCAAAAAGCATATAATATCATTTGTCAAAACAACAACTAACTTGATAATGCACCTCAAATAAAATGTGCATATATTTACCTAGGATTTTGAGTTTCATTGTTTTGCTGATTCCAGATGCCCGTGGATGATGATGCATTTGGAACATTCTGGCCATCTTCTTCTGCCGACCGAGTCAATGAAATAGTAATGTAAGAATTAGGATCTGAGGTGGAATTTACTCGGTTAGAGGCTTGACGCAATGAAGTCGACCTCGGGTTACTGACCACCTGATTACGGTGAAGATATCTCCAGTACAGGAGAGGAAGAGTGGCAGCATACCCAGCCGCATAACCCACTATCCAAGCAAACAATGGAGTTTGTGGATTTTCATGACTTGATAAGGATAAAACAACAATGGCAGCTGTAATTTGACCTAAAGAGAATACTAGCTCAATGGAAATCCACAACATTGTATTAAATGGACTCCACCGACGACCCAAACCTTCACCTCTCCTTGTGAGACTACTATGAGAGTTTGATACGTTTGATGGAAGAGGAAATTGACTGCCTGATGGTCGAACTTCATGATGAGGTGCATTCAAGCTAGGAACCTCATTGTCACGTGAAGCTGAAAATGAATGATTACGACATTGTATATCTATAACATGATCATTGTGTTGACAATTTCCTCCCTGCTCCATAAGCAAAGGAAATCTATCAGTTGTGTTTTCACGAATTGGTTCTTCAGATGTAGCAGCCATTTAAACTTTAAACCCAACAAAACTCAATACGGTTATGGTTATCCAGATGGTTGTAGAGCATAAGTATCACAATAGCATTTGCCGCAAAGGCTACTTATTCAATTGGCCTTCTTGAACTGCATAGGAACAAATGGAGTATTAAAAAGTAGCACGATTAATCACCTCTTAGTAGAACAATTGCCAGAACCCTATGCTCATTCAGTCTAATAACATGATATTAAACAAATAGTCTTTTCAGATCGCAGTCAGGAAAAGGCAAGTTTTACCTACATATATGAAGTATGAAATTTTAGTTTTTAAATCTGAACTTGTTACCAAAGAGAATACATTGATAAGTAATCTCATCCTACGCACTTAATAACTATTTCCATTGTGTTTAGAGCATTGGTCACAATTGACACTTGGAATCAACTTTCAAAATCCATTCAGAATGCTTGTTAGATAATTATATCAGTTCATTCCCTAATCCCCTCCCCCACCGGAAGGAAAAAGAACAAACTATATTTAAAAAAAAGTACAATTTACCAAAGATGATTCCTAGTCTGATCCTCCGGAACTACAAA